GAACAACAGAGAGGCTTGCGTGTAATCTCCTTCTGTTATAACTCCTTGGTTTCTCTTACTTCGTAAGTACGATTTCCGAAAACGTACTGTAACTGACAAATAGCATAATTGTAGTATCGGTGTTGATGGTTTTTAGTTTTTGCCCAGCACGTGCCATGTTAACTTTTTTAGACATTCTCGCAACGAGTTTCACGTTGTTTCCAGTTGAAAGTTGATGTAAGTTGATTTAAGTAGATGAAACTTGATGTAACTGATACAAGACGATACACAGAACCAGCTGATGTTACCAGTTGATGTTATATATCGTTGACAGTTGAATAAAATTGATCGACACCCGCAACACGTACGCTTCACTCGCAATACACGTACGATTATCTCACTCACTGTGTGCGACACAAGTACAGATCGTACGTGCTCCGTACTTCTTCCTACTTCCAAAAAGGTGTACAGACCACTTGCGGGCCCCACGTTTAGAGCACGAAACACCTACTCATAAAGTATTTACTACTTACGTCCGCTGCGATTTAATTTTCATCCTGCGACAACGCTACGCCTGACAAGAACTCCTAGGACGCCGACCTCTAAGCACGCACGACGGGTTGTAAGACAGCCTTAAGATAATTTAAGGCCCTTTTCACGAACCACCCTGAACATCATCAAGCAGTGGAGATTAATCAGATAATCTAGGCCTACATAGTGAAAAGTTTACATAACCTACATACGTGAATATGAGATATAGGGTCATGGGTAAACTTTTCAAACAAAATATGGCATTTGAATTCGATAAGATTGGCGATTTCAGGAAGAAAATATTCAGTCCCCCCCCGGCCCTCTCTCCGTCTTCTCCCTCCTTGTGTCTTTGCTTACCCCCCTCCCCTACCCCCCCCCCCACACACACAATGTGCGACCATATAGAGGTACGTGAACTTGCATATACGATAATTGCATTTATTAATTTTAAAAAACTCGAAATTACCGTCTTTTCCAACTATTTCCCTTATGAAATATATCCAAGTAGGCCTAGCGCTGACAGTATCTGCGTTCTTCATGAAAGCCTCTTGGATCAGCTCATAAGTCCCCAGCATTATCATGTGCTGTTCACCAAATTTAACGTGCATGATATCTCCGTATGTATCGTACCATGGAAGAAGATCCGTAGGTTGTCTTCTCCTACCGCTGATCATCATCTGTGGGAGACATCCCACCACGGGGAAACAAACAGGTCCGGGCGGCCAGTTCACCCGAGGATTCCTCGACGACAGCATCCACAGACTTAACAACAACACTGCTACGAATATCAAAACAGTCGGCTGAGCAGCAGTTGAGAAAAACTCCATAATACCCTGTACGGCGTTGGCCATTTTGAGCTTAGCGTGTTGATGACGCAAAATATTTGAAAGTTACAATTTCTACACCAGCGCAATGTGAGAACCAGTATGACGGTAGTGATATATATATAGCGGTATAACCCCTGAAAGTCAACACGGCTCAAGGTCAATTCATGCGCCATTTAACCCGATAGTAGCGCCAGCGTGTGCACGTGTACACATTTGTATGATCAGAAAAGGGGACTCTTCCCCACCCATACAGCACACCTTGCTTTGTGTGGTAGGTACGGCATAATTAAAGGGAATAATAGTGGCAAAGTTTTTCAGGCCTTCACTACTGTCACTGGGAGAACACATGTATATAAACATTCAACCAGAAACATAGCTGTGTCATGTCTGCCTGCAGTTAAAAGTCAAAAACTGGGTCGATGTATTAAAAGGTACTGTCGCACTCAAACGTGTGAGGAAAATTACCCAAACAAGGACGTCCAAACGCAAAGGGTGCGTTCGGCCTTCGTTGTATACATCCTTTCATACGCGGGGGAGATGAAATGTTTTGATAAGCTTCAAAAACAAACTCATGCGCTGTTTATAGCTATACGTTTATTCTCATACGCTGAAAAAAGCGTTTAATCAGTTTTACATACGATACTCATACGTATATACACTGTATACCTCTGTACACTGTATACCTCTGTAGTTGGCATGAGCACTATTACTTGTGACGTGTACAGTTCTTGGAGCGATCAATCTTTCCCCGCCTCATTAGAAGAATAATCCTTTCAGGCACATTGCAGAAAAGGATCTTCATCCGCCCCAGTGCACGTATCTACGGTTTTCAAAGTACGATTCTATTGATCAATATATACTTAAACAACTGCACGACGTTCTTTATAGCGATACATTAAAAACGTTATTGCCAAGAGGAAAAGCACGAAAACCATTTCGAGACTAAACGAAGTATTTTAGTTTAGATACAGTCAGTCTGACAGTCACGTGTCAGACTCGGATTATCTGATGTATTTATACAGATACTGTTGTCCATGTACAAGTAGTAACCGGTACATTCATAGTAAGGTACAGTGTATCTCCGTTCTAGCGTCTAACAGCGCACACGTTGTAGGGGTATGGCGTAAAAGTGAACGTGTTGAGGCCTT